GGGGTTACTATTCCGTTTTCACCCATAAAAAATAAATGCTTGTGCGAGGGATGAGTTAAGAATTCTTCAAAAAGTGTATATAAAGGTTTTTTCAGGGTCGTAAACGCTCACGTGACACTCCTAGTGTTGCAGGCGTCCATAGGCTACAGTAACCGTTTACCATCCGATTGGGTATATGCTTGTTTGTCACCTTCGTGATATAAAACAAAAAATGCGGGAAGCAAGAGATGTGTCTAAGGACACTCGGTTCTTTCTGCCTACCCGAAGATAGATAGAACTCTATCTCTCTCTTTGTGTGGCTTGACTCCTATCAGTTTACTGAAATAACTATATAGATGTCGCTCCTCGCAATATGAGAATTATTGACTGTAATACCAATTCGCGGTCGATTTCACTAATTAACCGATTTGTTCCAATGTCTGGGGTCAATATGATCAAGCGGCGGTCTCTTGAGGTCATTTGGTCCAGTGTCACTTGCTGCATCATGCTCTTTGTTTGAGATGTAAAGCAACATAGGACTTAATATGATGACTCATAAAATTCAAATTCCTTAGTGCATAATAAAAATACCTGCTTCACTAATTCTCGAAATATCATTTTTTTAAAAGATTTTCAAATGAAGTAGATTCGTAATTTGTCAATATTTTTGTTGCTATGTGCTGTCGTTAATTCTGATATAATTTTATTTAGCAATCGATTAGTTTTACTTTTGTTTTAGTACCATATTAATTTGGGAACAATAGAAGACGTAATTTTCATTGCAGAGCAAAATGAAGCAATGTTTACAGAACGAAGCAAAGTCTACAAAACGAAGCAAAGTTTACATAATAAAGTTAAGTCTACGAAACGAAGCTAAGTCTACAGAACGAAGCAAAGTTTCCTTCCTCTACTTGTACATATAATTCTATATTCTAAATACAAATATTTTCAATCTAATATTTCAATGAAACTTATCGTTTAAACATGTATGTCTGTTCACGATTTAATACGTTGTTTCTTTTTTTTTATATTTATTCTGCATGAAGGAAACACGAATATATACGTATGTATGTTTATTACAATAGTGTTTTGTGCCCCAGAGAATAATTGAAAAGTAAATAAATAGACTTTGTCGCAACCCAAAACCATAGATTGCATATCAGTAGATAAAGTTATTATCAAAATCAGTTATCTATGTACAAAACAATGATAAGGTATTAACAGGCACAGTGCACTAATTTACTAAGTAGGCAGCAAATGTGACGAAAGAACGCGCATAAAATAGAACGGAAAGAATCAAACTATATCTTACAAATAATTTAAAAAAAAAGTAAATTCTATTTTTATATGTATATCTTATGTTAGACATCTTCGCGAATTTTGAAGTTTTAAAATAAAAACAGTGAGATTAATAGTGTATCCATCTATATTTTTTTAGAGTAAAAAATATATTTTGTAATAACAGCCATATTAACTTAAATGAGTTTTAGTCGAGACATCTTAACTAGTTTCAGGACCATCCGGAACGAAGTTAAGTTACATGTTAAAACCCTACCTAGAATAAAGAAATTAAAATATTTGAAACTTGTGGTCATAGCAGAAGATGGATCGATAACTGCTGATATTAACCATAGAACGAAGTCTAAGTGTCATAAATGGCGGAGTTCTCTGTGATCCAAAAATGCCTATTAAAAGTTAAGGCAAGGCCTACAAAACTGCTGTGAGACCAGTTCATGACCAGGCTGTGGTAGCGAAACGATAACTTAAAAAAACGCATGATCAAAAATTTAAATGCAGCAAGTATTGTGCTGATGGATTTACTTTTAAGAATTAAATGCGTAATGAGTACATACGGGGTAGATTTAAGGTTGGGCCTATCGCAGATAAAATTGTAGAGTCCAGGCTGAAGTGGTATGCATGCAACGAAGCGACCCGATTGCCATGTATTGAAGAAATGCCTTTTCATGGTTGTAATAAAAAGAGGACGAGGTAGGCCGCTACTACCTCGTTATCAAATGTCCAGATGGATAGAGGATTATGAAGCAGCTAAGCCTAGCTGCTAGTGACACCAATTAGAAAGCCAAATAGCTTCGTATGATAAGGAAAGCCGATCCCGCGTTATATATATATATATATATATATATATATATATATATATATATATATATATATATATATATATATATATATATATATATATATATATATATATATATATATATATATATATATATATATATATATATATTAGATATGGCGTGAATTTACTGGGTACAGAGGAACAACACCTGAGCCCTCAGGAATAGCAACACATGGATGATATCTTGGGCGAAATAGTATACTCTGTTATTTCCATGATACTGCTCACGTCTATAGGCGACAGTTACTACTTTCCATCAGGTGGGCCGTCAGCTTGTTTGCCATTCTGATTTGAATAAAAACAAATATTTAATAGTGTAATATACCTCTTACTAGATAAAGTACAAAAATATAACTGGTGTCATCCCATGACGTAATGTATTAAGAGATATAGTTTTTGCGAATTTTTTTTCGATTTATACCATACCCACCCACAGAGTTCTTGCGTTCATTATTTTTAAGTCCATTGAAAAGGAAACTTTATTCACTTTCTGTCTGTTCATCGAGTACAGGTGTGGGCAGTGGTGTACTGTGTATTACATACATATATACATACATCTCGCCCCCGACTTCTCGCCGAGTGAAATCAACGCAATTAATTCAAGGTCAATCTATACTAATATATTAAGGAGGAAGACTGTTTGTTTGAACGTAGTAATGTATGAAATTACCAATGGGTATTGCAAAATTCTTTTTGTGCTTGATAGATTACCAGAGGGGTCTTTGTACAAAAGTCGAATGCTTGGATACCTCTGTCCCATTCGTGTTTCAACCGTGAAGCAGTTGTGTTTGCATGGCTGTGTTTCGGTTTGAAGGGTGAAATATGGCGTGAATTTACTGGGTACGGAGGAATAACACCTGACTCCTCAGGAATGGCAACGCATGGGAGGTATCATGGGCGAAACAGTATACTCTATTATATCCATGGTACTGCTCATGTCTATAGGCGACGGTTACCACTTTCCATCAGGTGGGCTGTTAGCTTGTTTGCCATTCTAAGTTGTATAAAAAAAAAATACCAGATCGATATCCACATTATCCATGCCTAGGTAAATGTGCACAGTGGTTTTAAAAATCTAAATGTGTCCATCAACTTTTGACGCTGACTGTACTTCTAAATAATTTAACATGTATTAACATGAACTCTGAACTTTACGTTAATAACTTCGCACATAATCACATATTATGCAATAATATCCTCATTTAGCTTCTTATATTACATTTTTTGTTTGCACTTGAGTGATTACCGCTATTTATTATGTCAAGAATATGAATAGAAAAAAAAAACAAGTTAAAGACCCGTTTACATGCAGCTACTGCATTTAATCTCATTACAGCAAAAAGCTCGTTTATTATCCCATTGCTGGATTTAGTAATGATTAGAAATGTAGTTATTTTAATGATTAATTTAAGTGAGCAATGCTATGGGACTCATCCACACCAATTTATGAATCGTAAGTTTGTTTGTTTTAACGCGCTGATCTCTGTAACTACCAGTCGTATTTGAAAAATTCTTTTTACTTTTAATAACTGATTTCTTGAGAAAGATTATAAGTTATTCAATATCATATTACAACCAAGCATGAAGTCGCGGGATACAGCTAGTATTTCATAATTTTGATACGCAAAAAAAATTGCGATTTTGCGATCATTTCACGATCCAAATTAATATAGAACTATTAGGAACTAAATCTTACCGACTGACAAAAGAATTATCAAAATGAGAATAAAAAAAATACAGCTTAACACAAAAACAAAAAAAAGATTTTGTTCTATAAAGCACCACCAATATTAGTCATGGCTAAACCAGATATTTTGATTTGAGAACAAAAACTAATAAATTGATTTAGATAAAATTACGGGACCAATCTCACATTATATTCTTTCAGATAGAATAGAATAGAAAATATTTACTGCCAGAAAAACACAATTACAAAAGAAAATACAAATATATTAAAAATATAGGAAGTGTTGGACACTTCCTAAATTTTTATATATGAGTATTAGGCAAAAGGAACTGACTCAGCTGATGCTGTAAGTGTCCTAGTGCAATGTGTACAACTACACAGCGCTGGTTTTCCGCCAATCCCTCTCTTAACTCTCTCAAAAGAAATATGAGGCAACATACAAAAACAAAATTAGAACCTCCTCCTTTATCCAAATTAGTTGAAAAAAGAATCAAACTGGCATTCTTCTTGTATAGAGAAAAGATTCTACAACTTGTACTCCCTTACTTGCATTCAGTTTAACATTTAGTTAACCAAGCAAATCTCGATAAAGTGGTATCCGTTATATTGCATAATTGATGTGGGCTGCTGATGACGATGCATGGGAAAATGTGGTGTGTTCATATTTTAAATATGAGATTAATTAGTCATACAAAAACACTATTCTCACACAACCGGATTTCAGTGTGTTTTTAATATAGTTAGATGAGACAGTGTTAGAAAAACAGTAAATTGAACTTGGTTTACTGTTAAAAGATAGCATTTTTTTGTTGAACATATCGCCCTTTTAGTAAAATATAAACTCGAAATTGGCAAAATGTATTTTATGAAATACCGACTTAAAGAGACACATCTTTCTCTAAGGAAATTTAAGTCCTAATGAAAATAGGCGTTTTTTCTTGACTAAGCTATGAAACTTGTTTTTTTTTTGTCGGTATTTTTAATTATTATATCATTTTGTCAATTTTAAGTTTAAATCAATATTTTACTAAGGATACGATATATAATACATGCCTATGACACACTAGCAAATATCAAATTAGTTGAATTAGAAATCTATTGTAGTATTTTGATGCGTGTAACCGAACACTTGGTTAAACAGGGTTGCCACAACAACGAAAACACACGCATTCTCTATAACCCATCACCACGAACCTGACTGTTGTATAAAGAACTCCCAACAAGTTGTACCTTTGAATTTTGTTAAATTTTCCTCGTAGACCTGATCATGCTTTTCGCCGCCATTCCTTTCGCTGCGGTGTCTCTTCGGCTGGTGTGAGTGAGACGGGTGCTCATAGTAAGCGTTCCCGTTCACACCGTCCTCTTGTGGGTCAAACCCTAGGCGTTCCTTGTAGTACGCTTGTGTAGACATGTTTACACACACACACTTATCATTTCAAAATTCGGGCAGGGCTTTTACAATTAAAAAAACACGTTCCGTTTCACGCGTAACTCGCGAACAATTGTGAAGGGATCCGCCAAAATCCTTCCACAATTCACCCGCGGCACGAAGGTCACTTTAAAACGATTCACCACTATTTTATCGCGATCGATGTCACAGTTCTACAAAAGGAAAGTTGCTGTAAACCCCTTGACACACACTTAATGCTCTTGACACAATTTTTTATTCACTATACAATTATTCATTTGCAATTACTCACTTAATATCGATTTACTTAAAAGCTTGTTAATGTTAATATGGCAACGATCTAATATATAAGCGTTAGTTTTTGAATTTGGAATGCATGGATTACTTCTTAATTTTTTAATATTCGATTTAAAATTTTCAATTTCGGTTCGAGCTCGACACTTCAACTATATTATACACTCGGTTGTCTTTGGGTTTTCACACGGAGTTTCGTAGACATTTGTGTAAATAACGAAACGGTGGAAACACGACCTGTGGAGACAAAGAAATTGTTTAAATATCGCATTTCGAGGTCTAAATTGCCTCATACTAAATGATTCATGTTAACAACAAGATCTTTATGAGTAAGTAATGACTGTAGGTAAAATGTTGTTGGTCATGAGAACGAGGATTTCGGTAATTTTGTTGGCGGCCTTGTTTTTAAAACGATAATTTTTGTCTATGCTCAATACAACAGATTTAGAGGTTAACGTACACTATAATTTAAGTTTACAAATAATCTACACTGCTTATTGTTTACAAGGAAATACTCATAACGTTTTTATTTATATGGTTTATTTACAAAGCTTTTTTTTTAATGTATATATATATAGAAGAGGATGCTGTGTGTTTGACTAACTGCCCCATATATTTACGGACAACTGAAACCATTAATGTTAAATCCAGAATCATGAAATTTTGTAGATAAGTTCTTTATATAACGAAGGTGAACAATAAAAAATTTTGAAAATTCATACCCTGAAGGAGATAAAAATTTTCAAAATCCACGCGTACGAAGCCGTTATGTTACTAGTTTGTTAAAAGAAAAAAAGTAAGTAATATATTTAACTTGTAAAGTTACATGTGTTATGTAACATGATATATTTAAAAAATTTATAACTAATATATATTAGTATAATATATTAGTTTTTAAAGAGATATAAAAAAAAGTAAAGAAGATACACAACAAGTAACTGGTTACGATTGCATTACATTTACGAGTCCATTTTAAAGTGGACGCACGCTATAAAAATACGTTAAACTGTAAAATAAAAATTCCAATGATACTAGACGTAAGAGGTCAATAAACATACGAGCATTTATGCATTGCATTATAAACGCAATGTGACAAACTCGTATAAATTCATAAACGCAAAATGTCAAAACTTATTACGTATTTTATGTACCAATAACGCAACTATATACAAATGTTCAATTAATAATTACCTATTATATACCTACACCTACATTAAAATACTCTGTTAAAGTATATATATATATATATATTTGTAATTTTTTTCTGTTTTCTCTGCACTTATTAAAAATTATTACATTATTAAAATTAGTACTATATATATATATATATATATATATATATATATCTCAGGATAGGGGGCTGATAAGTAACAGGGATAAATGAAGTGATACATACATACTTATAGATACTTATAGTTAAATGTATTGTGTGTGCATACATTGACATGCAATATAAGACAACAACGATTACATAACGACCTATAGTTAAATTATAAAACGAAAAAGTCAGTAACTTGGATATACCATCAACGTAGATGGAGTACTAAATAATATATTTTTTAAGTTTCTAAATATTAGACATAGATACTACTTTTTTTAAATCCAAAAATAAGAAGACGGTCTATGGTTTGGCAGTATTTTTTTTTATGTTCATTATCTCAGAACTCAGTTATTTATAAAAATAACTGGTTCATGACTGTGATTGCTCACTTAATTCAGTTTTAGAATAAACTATTTTAAGCGCCGGTAGAATCTAATAACCGGTTTATAACAAGTGATATAAACGAAAGACGGTCAATTAAAATCGGTACTTAAACCGTCACGATTAGCATAAAGTTTCGGATGAAAAAATCGTCTGTGAAGAATACAGTACCAAGGCGACATCAAAAGTAAGAGTGCGCACAATGCAATAAAGGTACCAAAACCGGTTAATTCGTACCCAAAGATGTTTATCTTATTCTTATTAAACACTATTTGTTGACGAGTATTTCAGGCCGTGGAATAAGCTCCCTGTTGAGATATTTCAGACAGACTACAGTTTGGGGTTTTTCAAAAAAAAGTCTACTAAGGTTCGTTCAGGGTCGATAACGCGTACTTGACATCCATCGTGTTGCAGGCGTCCATAGGCTGCAGTAGCTGATAACCATCAAAAGGACTGTAAGCTTGCACGAAATTAAGTCCGAAACTTCGGAATTTCATTTGATAATAATACGCTTTTAATAATACGCTGGCGGAGCACCAGTGAAGGGTGATAGATGAGAATGAAAACAGCACAGTTAGTCCATCATGATGAATTCATCAGGAATTAACCATGATAGTTTCCAGGGGGAACCGCGAGGAGGTCGACCTGGTTGGGTATATTGCAAGCAATGGAATTCTCAGTCTCCATTACTAACAGTCCCTTTCCCCCCTTTAATATATTGTTGAGTAATAGAGTAGAATACGAAGGGAAGAGGATAATCCCTTTTCCGTGGGTGTTGTAAGAAGCGACTAAGAAAACTTAATGGTCGAGGGATGGACAGCAGTGTCTTAGTTAAAACACCACCAAAGCCTAACTGCATTTGCCAACCTGTCTGCCAAGTATGGCAACTACAGGCAAAACCCCCTAATAGGGGAAGCCTATATCCAGCAGTGGACAGTCAATGGTTGACATGAATGAACGATCTCATATGTACAGACGTCGTTCGGTTAGAATTTTATTATATTACAAAGATTTGTATGATGAAATGATATCATCAAAATATTCGTACACAAACGCGAGCGACATCTTGTTTTTTATTTGTAGCATAGTTTCCGTAACCCTGGCCTTATTATATAGAAATAGTGGAACTAATCATCACACTGTGCGTCCAAGTTTTATTATTATATTATACAATTGTTACACGAATTGTTTACATTCACAATACTTCAAATATTTATTAGGCATCATACATAAGGACGAATTTCTCAATTCAAAAAACTACAAAAGAATTTATGGCAATGTTATGCGATTATCTACTAAATAGTTTATTTTTTTATGCAATTTAGAATGGCAAACACTCTGACGGCCCGCCTGACAGAAAGCGATAACCGTCGCCTAATAAACATGTCGCATATAGCACCGAAGACTTAATAAAGTATACAGTTTCGCCCATGATACCCTCTGTACGTTGACATTCCTGAAGACTCAGGTGTTATTCCTCCGTACCCTGTAAATTCACGGCCATATCGCACCCTTCAAACCAAAACACATCTGCTTAACGGTAGAAACACGAATAGGACAGAGGTTGGATACCTCTGTCCTATTCGTGTTTCTTTTTACCATACCATACCATACCATTATCATACATTAAAAAAAAAACCCTTATTAAGGTCTATGTTCAACAGTGAACAATTTATGGCTGATATGGTATAGTAAAGTTTGCCTAAATCTAATTATTAATTAAACATTTTATCTGTCTGTTACTTTTTTTTTATTACGTTACGAAGTGAGGACGGGCATAACCTTGTTTAAGCATTTCTCATTAATAATGTCCAAGAGCTTCAACCCAGGTAGTGGTCGACCGGGTTTGGCCAGTTTAGTATTTTTACCAAACTGTTTTATTTCATTTAGGCATTTTATACTAGCTTTTATACCGCGACTTCGTCCGCGTGACCGGAATACGTTCAATTACCGGGATAAAAGTAGTCTATATCCTTTTTCATCCCAAGTATGAGTAGTATTGTTGAATATTCACCTATTTTATTTATTTATTTATTTATTCATTAGTACAAATATGTGTACATGGCGGACTTAATGCTAAAAGCATTCTCTCCCAGTCAACCATAGGGAAGTGTCAGAATACTCGAATGCGGTACTACTAATTATTGATATACATACATACTAAAATTACATATATAAACGAATAAATATATATGAATAACAAATATACTTACACATATATGATATATACTATATTATATTACATATTATAGTGTTAGTTCTTTATAAAAAAAATTTTGAGGCAGTAATTAAGTTTCTTAATGATTCGAATTATTATAATATGAATTTATAAATGATTTCTATATGTTTGTATGTTTATTTATTACAAATTGTTATCTCTTAAAATATTAATTTAATTTACTATTTTTTTAAATCTGTGCACCGCCATTTGCTCTCTCTGTTTGGCGTGGCGGTTGACTGGTAGAGAATGCCATCAGGCATTAAGTCCGCCCTGTAGACATTTTTTAATGTGTGCAAAAGTATAAATAAATAAATGAAATAATAATTATTAGTTTGCGGAATATTTTTAGAACTAGCAATAATAATGTTACCGACATAATGTATATTGTTTTGAAATAAATAAATAAATGAATTAATCAATAAAAAAATTCATAGCGATTGGTTATGCCGTTAAGAAGATTCCTTGCCCTCCCTTAGTCGATCCTTACGACACCCATGGGAAAGGAAGGGGTGGCCTATTCTATGCCGGGACCACATAACCAAATTAAAGTTTAAATACCACATATGACAGTTTTAGTTCTTATGATTATGTTTAAATATTCATAATATAATCATCATTCATTTACCAGAGGGAAACTTTGTACAAAAGTCGATTGCTTGGGCACCTCTGTCCCATTCGTGTTTCCACCGTGAAGCAGTTGTGTTTGCATGGCTGTGTTTCGGTTTGAAGGGTGGGATATGGCGTGAATTTACTGGGTACAGAGGAATAACACCTGAGTCCTCACGAATGACAACGCATGGGGGGTATCATGGGCGAAACAGTATACTCTGTTATGTACATGGTACTGCTCATGTCTATAAGCGATAGTTACCACTTTCCATCAGGAGGGCCGTCAGCTTGTTTGCCATTCTAAGTTGTATAAAAAAAAAGAAAAAAAAATATCTCTCAGATAAAGAATCACCTTCTTTATCGAAGACGTAAGATTAATAAATACATTCCAAATATTCTCCTTAATGACATCACACACCATATCATTGTTATTGTTATGTAACAACGTACAGACAACAGCATCCAGCTGTTTCATTTTGTATTTTAATTACTATTTAATGACCATGGCATCGATGACCAAAAGGCGGCTTGTCTGCATGACGTTACTCCTTTACAAGTATGATCGACGATTTTATCAAATATAATAAAATTGGTTATTTGAGTTATATTAGCCAATACTCAGTTTAGTAAAATGTTTATAATAAAATTGTAACTAGATGATGTCTGTAAAAATTGTAACTAGATGATGTCCGTAAAAATTGTAAC